TGTTGTTAGTGTAGTTGTTTTCAGCATGGACATTTTTTTCAAGGTAAAAACTTAGATAAAACATCAGTACTTAAATTTAGATATGATCTGGGCTTATGTATATACGGAGTTGGTCTCTATGTAAGTTTAAATTTTACCTTTATATGAATAACTTTTAGTCTGGAAAGCCCTCCTTTATGTTTGAGGAAGAACAGAATGTTAAGAGAGTACTTCTTGTATATATAAAAAAGAGTACTACTTGAATGTACAATATTGGTTTATGAGAAGAAAGTAAATGATTTAGAGTGAGGGACAGGAAATAAAATATTTCTAGGCTTATCTAGAATAGTATAAGATGGAAGAGAGAGCACTAACAGCTGAGATGGCTTGGCATTTCCTTGTCTCTCTCGCTCAGAGCTGGGTGTAAGCAAATTTTTCTCATAAACTAACCTAGTTAAATGTATGTTTTAACACTCTCTGTGTATATAAAAATAATTGTGTAGATTATGAAAGTTCTGATTGTACAGAATATGAAAGTTATGCCTGTCTGAATGCTGTGGTCCTGATGTTCTACGCTTTGCATCCATGTGCCTGTGTGACATTTCATCATCCCCCATGCTCAGGCATGGGGAAAGCCTCATTGTGCTCCAAAGTCCATAAGGAGATCGGGGGTGGGAGGATTGTATTTATTCCGGTGGAAGACAATCAGGGCTGATAACCTACCTCCAAGTGTTGTCCATATCCTTAGCTCTGAGAAATAGCATTGGTCCTCAGACTGAAAACCATAGGCTTATCTGGTCCTATTGACCCCAATATTTGTGAAACATAACACCCACTTTCCTTGCTGGAAATGGTCACTCCCAGACTTTGCGGGCTTTCCACCTCCCAAGTGACAGAGAGGTAAAACCTCTGAACACAGTGGATGTTGAGTGAAACTGTAACAATGCTCACAACCAGCATCCTTTCTGCCTACTCGTAACAACATGGTATAATAATCCTGATGAGAAAAGAATTACAGAGAGCAGGTGTGTATAATGGGTCTTGTGTGCATTTGCAATTTATTGATCTACTGGAACATCATTTGTTCATTCTGCTGCTTTCACCGACCTGAGAATACAAACACGTTCTGGTGCTGCACAGACCTTTGTGGGGAGAGGGCATGCGATATGGTTGATGTGGGTACCACACTGTGAATTTGAAAGCTTGTGTGCATGCCTTTTCTGGAGAGTTGGGAAGTACAGAACTTGTAAATGATCGTAGTGTTTAGTGGTTTATATTGTGTGTAGATTAGATGTATATCTCTCTGTGTATAGATTAAGTGATGTATGTTAGAAGGAAGCGTTTAATGTTGCATCTGTTAAGTCTCCATGCAGTGATGGCTTAAGCTTTTTTGTGGACAAGCGAAGGTGTTCTTTATTGTTCTTTCTAAAAGCAGTATAAAATATCTGTTGCTTCTTCTGATCTTGTGGAAAATAAGCTATTTGATGGACTGTTATTTAACAGTTCATTACAAGCATGATTTTGCTTGTGGTATATGTTTTGGGCTGCCTTCTAAGGAAGCAGTGCATATGACTGACTGACAGTGCAGTTGTGGTTCCTCTTATTGTCTCTCCTTCTTCCTGCTTGAATAATTTCTGAACTCATAGGTCAATGTCAATCGAATTTGTTAGAACAATTAGAGTTCAAAAAATTGCTGAGATATCTAAGTTCCTACAAATACAAATATCACTAGTTAGTTAGAGAGAAATTACTGCTTTCCTGAAGGGAATGGCACAGAGCTCAGTTTACCCATTCTGTTTTTCTGTCGGCTTTACAGTCAATTGGTTCCTACATCATTTTTGTTTGGTCCCACAGTGCGTGTGTTCTTGTTGGGGGTGTCAGGAGGAAGAAAAAAGGTAGAGGAGTTAACGCTATTGTGGAACTGGAAGAGATTAGGGTACGAGGAATGCAGATCTAGAACAACTTGTTACTATTTCAAAATAATGCTGCAATTTGAAATGTCAGTGCTTGTATTTCATTACAAAAAATTACAAATATATGATAAATTTATAATATGATGACTATGTCAGATGCTTTTTGGATAAATAATACCTCGTCTCCACCCCAGAGATCTTCAACCCAAAAAAATGGAATCATAGAACAGCCCGGGTAATGTTGGACCTTGAAAGACCATCTGGCCCAGTCTTTCATGGGAGAGGGAGCCTAGATGAGATTATCTAACACTCTGTCCAACTGCGTATTGAAAATCTCCAGTGATGGGGACCCTACCCCATCCTTGGGGAGATTGTTCCAGTGATTGATTGTTCTCACTGTAAAAAATTTCTTATTGAGATGAAACTTCTCCCAAGTGCAATGTGTACCCATTCCCCCCTTGTTTTCTTCCTGTAGCTCCTTGTGAAAAGACAGCCTCTGTCCTCTTTGTAGCTACCCTTTAAGTACTGGACTAACTGTGATGAGGTCCCCACTGAGCTTTCTCTTCTCCAGAGAGAAAAAGAACCAATTCCTTCAGTCTTTCCTCACAGGGCAGGTTCTTCAGCTCTTTCATACTTAAACAAAAAACTACAAAGTCAATATTGGAATGCTGTGAAATACCTAAACTCTTTTAGCCATCATTTTCATATCTAACAAACTGTTGGAATCAACTGTCCACAGTTGCAAGGTTTAATTCCGCAGAGTTAGGGCCCCTGGTGTCACCCTCGGGCATGTAAAATGAAACCTTTGGTTATGGAAGTTGGGTGTTAGACTGCCAATAAAGAGCAAACTTAAATTATTCTCTTACTGGAGTATGTTGATCTTCCTCTCCCTCTGTTTGCTTCTTATTGTATGTCTCTCTGCAGTGTATTTTATTTTGGTTTTCAGTCTCAAGTTTAAACATAGCTTTTTGCTCCTTTTCTCCATTTTACCCATTACTATTTAATCTGCTTACTGCTAATTCCTCCCCTTCCCCCCCCCCCCCCCACCCCCCACTTTTTTTTCTTTCTTTCCCTCCCGAAGCCTTTAGAATGGTTTTATGCTTTCTTTGGCATCTAGCACAGGGCTAGTCTTGAGACTTCCCACTCCCTTCCCTCTTTCTGATGTGTTCAAGGTAAAGGAGGAATAAACTACCAATTCCTTTGGAGTACTAGTAATCTGTGGAGGAATGTTCCCTTAAGTGACTAAACACTTTCAGTCCTTTTATGCACTCTTCTGTCCCAGTATTTACAATATTTAAGTTTTCTTAGCTTGCAAAAAAATCCCCAGACCAAAACAACAAAACAAACACCACCAGCATCCCTCCCCAACCCACCCTCTAGTTCTCCTTTTTAAGTCTCTTGTCCTCCGGTTACTGCCCCAAGTGCTTTTCCTGTCCTTCTGCATACTTTGGGAAATTGAAGTAGGAAGCGAATCTGTGCTCTGCTGGTCTCTCTCCTGTTATCTTTTTAACACTTGAGTGTAAAAACTGCCTCTGCTGTAAAATTCAATAGTACGTGTGTGGAAGTTCAGAGAGCTATTTTTTTTTTTCCCCCAGGGTTTGCTTGCAGTTTTAAAAAAAACAGAAGCATAATAGAGGTATTGCCTGCAACAGAGTACAATAAGAAAGCATAAGCAAAGATTAAAGTGCTGATCTTCTAGCAATTAAGAAATGCTTTTGAAAGAGTCATACTACTAAGATGGCTTATTCTGAAAACACTGTATCAGTATGCATGTGATTTAAAACTTTTGAGATAATGCTTGCTGTGCATGAAATTAGTATCGGCTGTGTTACCTGGCATTTGGAAGAACATTTCTGAGTCATGTACCACGCTTGATTGCTCTGCCAAATTATGAGAAAAAAATTCAGTATTTTTTTCATAGTTCTCTAAATTACAACTGATGAGGAGATTGGCTTACAAAAGTGCTGTGGATTTTTCTGCAGTGACATCTGTGAAGTGTATATATAGTAGGTTCCCAAGTTGGAAGCCAGAAGAGTGTGTGAGAAGTGTGAAAGGGGGAAGGGAGCAAACAAGAAATTCAGACAAAAGGAAATTGTTGATGCAAGTTAATGCCTTTTCTTAGTGATATTGATAAATTTCTGCTGCTGTTCAAGCAGTCTAAATTATTCTCCTTCTGACTCTTTCCTTTTGCTTTTCTCCTGTTGCCTGGAAAACATGAGTGGAATCTAGTAGGACAAGAGGCTGCTTTTTCATTGTTTTGTGGCTCTGTTGCTAGCTATTGTCCTCTTGGCTCAGGCAGTTCATGTCAGCCTTTGTGTGGAGTAAGAAAAATGTTTTTCCTTTTTTCTTTAAAGATTAAATTTCTAGACTCTGTAGATTGCTTTTATTTGAAAAGCAAGCAGTTAAGAGTATCTCCCACCAACTAATGTATTTTTGCTTGTGATGTCACCTTTAGCACTTTGTTCTTTTGGATGTGCTTATTAAATTTGTGGGCTAGTTTGGAGGTAAAGCAGTTTTGAAATCTAGTTTCATTTTTTTAATGTACTTTATTTAAAATAAAGGAAATCTCAGCAAGACAGTGCATTTCATGATTTTTTTCTGTCAGGAATAAAAAACAGATCACTGACAATGTTGTATGTTTTCAACAGTTGGATATAGAGCCAGTTTTGCTCTTAAGTGGGAGCAGAGCTCTAATACTCGGTAAAGTAATGCAGCATTGAGCAGTGTCATTGAGATCTTGTCTGTTGGGGCTGACTTAACTCTGTTATTTACTACATCACTGAGTATTTATAAGTATGAAGATTGTTTTTGATGACATTCTTGAAACAGAACTGAAATGTAGCTTTTTGCTAGTATGACATCACAATCATGGATGCATAGGGTAGTGAAAAAAAATGAGACAGTTCTCTTGTAAGTAACAGTTCTTGTGGGTTGTATTTATATAATCCTACTTTTTCATTACCTTTATTTTTGCTGTACTAATTATATGGTGGTACAGAAAATATATTGAAAATGGAAGACACTGTAACTGTTTGATTATCTCATGGTATTTTGTTTTGTTTTGTTTTGCTTTCAGGCATCTATTAAACAGCTAAAAGTGACAGAACCATGGCTCAGTTTCCAACACCTTTTGGGGGTAAGTTGTTTATAGTGTATTCTGAACTATTCTTATATGCAAAAACTGCATAAACGTTGATTTCCGAACATGTTCTGTATGGAAGTGTTTATGGAAGTGTATCTTTCTGAGATGGTAGTTTATCTGATTTGTGATGTTTTTGCAGACCCAGTAGAGAACACATATGAAATTTTGCAGAGACATCTCAGAGGAGTCAAACAGAAAATCTGTGCTGTATCCCTTTTTTGTGCATTGATCCATTACAGTTTGTAACTGTAGGGCAGATCCAGGCCACTCAGCCACTGGCAGTAGGGCATAGCCTCATTCTGCACTAGGTGTGGCTAAGAAGTGGATATGGCATTTTTTTTGAGGATTCTTGGGTTTTGTCATTGTTAAAAAATACAGCAGATGCCTTTGGATGCCATCACTTCAAATTTCTTTTCCTTATTGGCCCATAACCCATGTTGAGATTACAACAAATGTGCTGCAATTTTAGCTCTCCAAGATGCTATACCCTCCCCTGTCATAAATGAACTTTACTCTTTTTAAAAGATCCAGGAAGGGCCCTGGTAGTGCAATAGAGACATGACTTTTTGCTGTTCACATGAAATACATTTTTGACTCTAGTTTTGCTACCGATCTGAAGAAAGTTTACAGAGATAAATTTCAGTGCTGAGACCTAGTAACTAGTTTGGTTCCACTTAAATGTTGCATCTGTTAAGGGCTTTTCTCTGGAGATGCAGATACGATTCTTGTTGTGTGTCTATGTATGTTTGTGTATATATATATATGCATAAATATGCATACACACATACAGACACAAATAAGTGTGTGTGTATGAACGTATATAAATATATATGGAAGTCTGGGTTTTGGGATTGGGTATAGCTAGGAACTAAATGTGAATCTAGTGTTAGCGTTTTAGTGGGAGGCTACAGGAAGCACACATGTTCAGAGTATGTTGTTAGAGAAACCCAGTTCTTGTTAAACACAATTGATTGGATGCAATCTTTGCTGGTGTGAAAAAGTCCGTGATGCACAACAGAAGTATCTCTTTGCACATGGTAGCTAGAACAAACATATAATTGGAAGCTGCCATTCCTTGCCTCAGTTATCTTTAAGTCCAGCCCTCTGGAATTAAATCTTGCTTGGTGCCGGACTTTCTCAGTTTGGGGGTGAAACTGGCTACAAAAGCTTTGATCAAATAAACTCACTGGACAGTTTCATGTGGGATACCCGTTCAGGTCATGTAAAAGGTTGTGAATAGCTTAATTTCACCATGACTTTCACAATCTAAGAGAAGTCTTGATGTGAATGAAATCTGCTTGTTCGGACTGAAGTATTTCCTTTTGTTTAGAGTTAGGGCTGTGGTTTGCATGCACCCATACTGAAACATGTACATACATTCTTAATGAAAATCTTGTCTTCAAAGCATTCTCCTCTGCCATCTTCAGAGAGTTCTCATTGCATTACAGATGGATATACAGCTTTCTTTTTTCAACTTTTATATATATATATAAATAAAAAACCATTTGATCTTGCATCTGTTGTCCAGGATCCTGTTAACTCTCGTACATGGCTTTACAAAGGAAGGAATTTGCTATTTCTTCTCAAACAACTTTTCTCATCTGATTGCTTTACAAACAGGACGTTGAAATAAGCGTGTGGCTAATGTAGTTTCTGGAGTGTCTTTAACTTGCAGTGTAGTATGAGGGACGTTTGTTATGATACTCATACTTGAACCAAGTCTACCAAGTAGCATCGTACCTCCTCTCAGAAGAATGAGAGCAGGAGTCTAAGATTGTTGTAAGAGGAAACAAATGGTGTAGAGAAAATTCCAATTTTTATGGGGAAATTTATCATCCTTTCAAGAATGCAACATTTTCTGTTACCTGTAGTCACCAAACAAGATGCAGAGGAGAAAATTTATGCAGTCTCCATCTTGGGAGAGCCTTCACTCTATATGTGCAATATTGGGTATCCCTCTGCTGATGAATACCAATAGTGATGTTTTTGTTTCACTCCTTTCTTATTAGACAATCTTTCAAGTCAACTTGGGAAATGGGTATGGAAAGAGCACAGCACCCAACAGTTAAATTGGGGTGACTCACTGATATTCCAGAACACTGCTCATTTTAAGAATGACTAATTAAAAAAAAATAGGCATGGTAGAATTTTTGTAATTGTTGGGAAGAATGTGGTATGCTTGACCTTCTGTTGATTTGTCCAGAAGAAGAAAGTGCCCATTTCATATATGAGGCCACTGCTTCACTTTTGCAGATGAGATGATTGCTAAGCCATATAAAAGAAAAGATGGTTAAAGGGCTTGCTGCTGCATTCAATAGCTTGCTTATGAGCCAATTTTGTGGTTTGGTGACTGCCTCCTTTGTATCTGAATATATTGAAAAGCCCCACAACCTCTCTATTGGCATCCAGGATCTGAAGCCATGAATGATGTCTTGGTAATTGGGTAAGATCCTGCTTCATGCCCTCCCATAGGTCTTATTGTTTCCTCAAATAACAAAAGATGGAAACAAGGCAATGTCAGAGATGCCATTCATACTTTTCGGACTGAAAAGGCTACTAGGCTACTAGGTTTGGTTTAACATTGGTTCTTTTGATGTTCATATCCCACAAAGCAGATCCACTGTTTCAAAACCAACCAGATCTCCATCTGGAAGAGTAAATATTGACAGTCATTTGTTCTAGTTACAGGGACTTCAGAGAAGAAATAAACTTTTTTTTTTTTTTAAATAGTTAATAGAATACTTTTTTAGTGACCTCTTGCCATAAGAGTTTTTAGTTTTGGGTTTTATTGCTGCCTTTGTGGAAGGATTGGAAGAGCTGGTGGGTTTTTTGTTGTTGTGTTTTTTGGGTTTGGGGTTTTTTGTTAGGTGGGTTTTTTGGTAGAAGTCATGCATACCTCAAATTGAGAGAGAGCAAGCTGGTGAATGATAGCAAATTTCATGTTGGTTTGTTGTTTGGTTTTGCTTTTTTTTCTCAAGAAATTCTCCCTCTTCGTGTAAGCTACCACATCCAGCCTTAGGATCTTAGGTTGGTGTAGTCATTTCCAATACAGGGAGATGTTCATCTGCTCCTAGTTGGCCTAGTCTGCATTACCAGTCATAAAGTTTTAATCAACACCATTCCTTTCCTCCAGTCAGGAGTTCATAAGAAGATGGGGGAGAAAATTGCTTACATGAACTATTGTGTTTTGAGATGTTCATATCCAGAGAGTCCTGTTTCATTCCCACAGGGAGCACAGCTATGAAATCTGTTTACAGTGCCTCTGTGAGCTTAGTTACTATAATTCTGGGATTTTTGGACTAATTTTAAAATGCCTTTTTTCCAATTACTAGCCTGTCTGCTTCTAGAAGTACATAGGTTACCTGAAACTGAGATGATAATTTTCTACCAAGAATGTAGCTTTTCTTTCATTAATGAAATCTGCCATTTAAAGGAATGTTTTTCTTCCTCTTGTCCATTTCCTTTTCTCTCCAAAGTACATTTTGCCACATGAAAGTAGTTTTTAAATAGAAGAAATTCAGGAGGCAGGAAATTCTCATGTTCTTCATAACTGCTGAGTCTGATTCTGCCTCAGCCTGCAAGCAATTTGAAATACTTGCTGTAAATATTTGTGGATTGTATTACCTGAAATTTAATCTCTGAGAATTTATTGCTGAGACAGAGTCAATGTCAGATCTCCTGTTTATTTTTCTGCAAATCTACATGTTCTCTTTTAATATTACTTCAATAAAACAGCAATTCCATTCACTTAGATTCCTTCATATCGTTACACTCCTATACAGTAGGAGTTACGGGAAGGTGCACCAGTGCAGTGTGCTACTACCATTGTTGAGATCATGATTTTTACTGGTTGGAAATTATTCAGACAAACTTGAAAAACAGTGTTAGTTCATTGGAGGTCTCAAGTGGAAGTTGAGATATGTTTGCTCTGCGTACAAATGATCTGAAGGATGAAAGCGAAATGTCTGCAAGAGGAGGGAGAGGAACTACTGCAAAAATGGTGGTGGAACTGGAAAAAGCATTGTGGAAGCATAGCACTGTAGAAGGGTAGTAAATCTCAATGTAAACTAAATATTCACATCCAATTTATGAGTATGGTGTGAAGAATCTGGTCTGTATAACATATACTTACTCAGATTTCTCATTCTCAGAAGAATGAGGAACACACTTTCCTGTGCTATTGTTGCCCATGAAAAATGTTTACTATCTGGTTGAATTATACTTTTCCTATACAAGTAAGAAGAGTTCTTCTGTTATAATAGTACAAAACCACATAGTACACAACTGATTATTTGAGGTACCTTTTCAGTTAAAAGAACTTGCATTTCAGCTGTATGTACTCTTGAGAGGCAAATGACCTCCCACCCCCTAAATATCTAGTCTAATGAACTTTCTGCATTATATCCTCTGGTATGCTGATGTTGTCTTTTAATAGCCCATTTGTAAGTTTGATTGCACATTGAGTCGTGTGGTTGTAACTTAAATTTTCGTGTGAGCCAGGTAAGAGAATCAGTTCCCAGCAGTCATCTTAATTTGGTAATGTTTAGTTCTGCTAAGTTTAATAGTTGTAATTGGCTGGTTCATGGAGCTTTTAGCTATAGACTTTGGATGAACAGCTTCTGGATGTGTGTTGTTTTCTGAGGTCCGGTATGATATGATTACTCTCAGAAATAAAAATAGTGTAGTTTGTAGATAATGGTTCTTAATTTTATTTGTCCATTTGTTTTGAACTAGGCAACCTGGATATCTGGGCTATTACTGTGGAGGAGAGAGCTAAACATGATCAACAGTTCCATAGTCTGAAACCAACATCTGGATTTATCACTGGTAATGAAATAGTTTTCACTTCTAATTTCATTTAATTAAATCTTAATTACCAAGCCTAAATATGTACAGAGTTGTCTGGGAGGCATTTGGGCGTAAGAATTTAAAAAAAATTGAACCAATCTTACTTGGTTTGTATTCCATTTTTCATATGTCTTGCCGTCTCAACCCCATCTTTTCTGATATTGCTCTCATATTTACCAGCTATGTATTTGGTTTATGACACTTGATTTTTTTGTGAGTAGGATTAAAATTATTTCTAACTGTGGCTCTAAAAAGCAGTTTTATTGTGTAGAGCTAGCTGATACTTACAAACTTTAGAGATTCAGGATGCGGAATCACCCTGGTGCCTGGTAATATTTATAGTGCTTTTAATGTGCCCAATGAATTAACTCATTGTACTGAGTCTGGCTGAGATGGACTTAACTTTCTTCATAGCAGCCTATATGGTGCTGTGTTTTGGATTTGTGATTAAAGCAGTGTTGATAACACATCAATGTTTTGGCTGTGGATGAACAGTGCGTGCAAAGCCTCAAGGCTTTCACTCTTTCTCACTCTGCATTCCCTCCAGCGAATAGGCTGGAGGTGGGCAAGAAGTTGGGAAGGGGACACAGCAAGGACAGCTGACCCCAGCTGACCAAAGGGATATCCCATACCACCATGCTCAACAAAAACTGAAGGGAGGCTGCTGTTGTCTTCCAAGGTAGCCATTGCTCAGAGGCTGAGCTTGAGGGAGGTGGTGAGTGATTACCTTTACATCACTTGGGGTTTTTCCCCTGGTCTTTCACTTATTAAACTCTCTTTATCATGACCAACAAGTTTTCTCACTTTTGCTCTCCCTATTCTCTTCTCCATACTGCTGGGGAGAGGGAAGTGAGAGAGTGGCTGGCTGCTTAGTTTTCTGCCTGGGGTCAACCCACCATGCTAACATACTAAGAGATTAAGAAGTTTGTTTAAGTAAAGATGTATTAATTTAACTGAAATCTGTTTCAGAAACTGATTGTTTAAACTAGTGAAATCAGTGTGGATGACCTCTTAAAAAAAAGTCTAAATGGCAAAATTGATTTAAGTTGTGGGAAGTAAAGCTGCAAGTAAAGAAATTGCACTGATCCTAATAAATTTTCAGTGAACATCACTGATTTGCTTTGATTTTAAAGGCAATAGGATGCTTACTTTTATGTTAGCTTGTTTTGTTGCATTTGATTTTCTTTAGTGCTATCTAAACTCTGATGTTCAATTGAAATGAAAGGTATAGAAGTGATTTACCTTTCTTGCTGTCTGATCCATCAAGAGGATTTCCAGAGTGTGAAATCAGAATTGGATTCTTAGGAGAGTCTCATCACAGCCGTACATGCCTCCAAGTATACAATTTGATTGTTTCTGCTCCTGTTACCTGACAGATGTGGTACAAAATACTACTGTGTTTATTGACCTCCTTTGATATTTAGTGCTATTTCTAGTCTGTTTACAACTTTCCTTTACAGACCACAGCATTTCCAAGTGCCTAATCCTTTTGTAATTGTTTTGCTATCCTTAGTTTTAATTGATAGTTGGAAAATGACTTTGAAATATACCATTGTTTCTTTAATGGTGGCTTATCAGGTTCACATCAGGCTAAAGACCACTTTAGTTTGTGCTAGCTGACTGCCATTGTACTTCCAAAAAAATCTAAGGTAGAGTTTATCTTCCTCTGGAAGAAGAAGAAAAAAATTTCTTGTTCTCACAAAGTGTATGATTCCTGCAAAGAGAGCCATTAACACAATTTAGGGACTGTGAACCATGAGTTTCCGATTGCTCTAAATGTTCATGCCCAGTTGACTTCATGTGGTGCTGACTGTTGCAGACTTAAACAGTATGTGTTTGTTGGAAATACCTAGTAGATTTGCAAGTGACAAAATAAGTTTAAATCTCATACTCTGTTATGTATGCATAGCATTAAGTATTTATGGTTTTACTGTTGCTTCTGGTTTAGATATTTTTGACTCATGAATTCCTTCTTCATCTTGCAGGTATTTTTAGCATTTTCTGAAATCATGTCCTTTTTTTTTATAGGTGATCAAGCTAGAAACTTTTTTTTTCAATCCGGGTTACCTCAACCGGTGTTAGCACAGATATGGTGAGTATATGGTAGGGGATGGGAGAATTGCAATTATGTCACAGAGAGAAATTTATTGGTACAGACTTGCACAGTAACTATATTTCACATTCTGGGGTTTAAAATCACCTATTTAGTTCAGTGTGCTTTCCAAAAGTCTACAAGGCAAATATGCTTTGCAGTATGTTTTAGCTGCGTTTTTAAGTTAACTAGTTCAGTTATTGGAGGTATCTGTCCTTTTACAAATGGCATTTTTGAAGTTGGCTATTTGCAGCCTTCCTTTCAAATTACTAAATGCTTTCAGCTTTATTAAAACTGTACTAATACAATCGCTAAGCACAGTAATTAGTATTATAAATCTTCTAATGGGAGAACCTATGCAAGACTTGCAAAATTTGTTACAAAATTAAGGCTGTAGTTGGAGATGCAGCTTGAAAGCTTGAAATTTTTACTATTCCTTGGTGAGTTTAGATTAAAATCTCTATTGCTGTATATTATACATCACAAACATTTCCACAGCCTGCCAGTTTCTTTGTGCAGGATTGCAATTGTTTCTGCTCCAACTTACGTGACGCTACCAGACTTGGACATGCTAACTTGCATAGATTTTTTATAATTCACATTAGTTATATTACTACTATTTTATGTGAAATACTACTGGTTTTCATTCTAGATTGGAAAAAAACCCAGCAACTTTTCCTCTGTTGTTAACTGTTTGAAAGAGAGAGTAGTTATGGCAGTTATAAAAACTTTTTGTTGTAGTAAGGACTTCTAAATGCAGAATCTTGCTCTGACTGGAGAAAGAAGAGAATTCTTTTCTTGCAAGAAAAAGAATTTGCTTTGGAAATATGCATGCCTAAAATAGGGGCTAGATTTCCATGGCTTTTAAATAAATAGCTTATTTTCTTTTCAAATTATCTTCATCTTAGAAATATGAAATCTGGTCTGGTTATTTTATTTGCTGAAGACTCAGTGAAAGTTCAGATGTCCCTTTGGAACTTCTCTTGCCTCTTAATTAAACAAGGAAAGAAGTTTTGTCTTAAAGAAAACATCCTTTCTCCAAAAGTGTTCCGTAGGCATTAACTTTAAATAGGTGTTAACAAAAACTAAACAGTTGTAAATAGTCTGACTAAAAATCTCTTCCTCTCTGAATTACTCAGTTTTTCAGCTTCTTGAGAGAGAGAGAATCATTCCACTAGTTCTGTAGTTGTCATAGAGACAAGACCTGAACTTGCACATTTTTTAAAATAAAGCTGAACTAAAACTTATTCATGCTGCCTCTATAAATCATAAAAAAAGCATGTAGACATCCCTTTCTCACTCTTTTCTTTTTTCGATCATCTCTGAATTAAGAGAAGTAAATATTTAAGTAAAAATCTAGATCACTTCTATATATTCCCAGTTGGAATTAGAATAACCAAGTAGGAAAATAGTTGCCTAGTGATAGTAAAACCCTGTAAGACAACCCCCCCCACTCAAAAAAAAAAAGGAAAGGAACCTCCTCCCCTCTTTTCCCACAACTCAAATTATTTAACTCTTTTGATCTGTCAGTGAATATTTACCTGTAACCTGCCACAGATTACTGCTATCCCACAGAAACAATAGAAGTTAAACTGTTTAGTGGCAGAAGTCCTTTGCAGCCTGCAAAGGACATCACAATGTGCTCAAGACTGCATTGAAAAATGTGAATCATTGTTTGTCTTAGCTCCCAGGGGTAAGATTTTGAAGTGGCACACTTGCTTTGTGGATTAATTGCAATATTCTGTCTAATGTTGTCTATTGAAATCTCTATTAACAGTGATATAGATCCATAAGTACTTTAAAGGGGAGAGGAGTTCTAGTTTAGTAAGCCCAGAATCTCCGTGAGAGATACAAGCTGCATAAAACTTATTTTCTATCAGTATTCTTTATTTCTTGAATAGATGGGGGTTTTTTTAATTAGATAGCATTTGATTATTAGAGGGAGAGAAGGAAAGGTACAACAGTCTTTAAGGAAGGAAAGTTGTTATTCTGAGAGCAACTTGTAATACTTCAAATTAATTTTCTGATCCTAGAAATATGGAAGTGTATGCATGTTGTGTTTTGGAAGTGTTTTCCTATTCTTTTTTGTGTCTACTTATTTTGAATAGTTGATCATATTAATCTGTCTGCAAGATAGGAGCCTAGCATTTATTTCATAAAGGATTACCTACAGCTGTATGTAGACAAGCTTATGCTAATACAAAGTTTCATCTGTTTTGTTGGCTATGGTTCTTGTATAGAAAAACACAACTGGGAAAGGAACCGCAGGGGGGATTGGCCTAATGACTGATTGGCCATACTGCTTTCAGAGTGCTCTGCAGAAAAATCAAATCCTCTATCTTTATGAGTTTCTGAATGTATTATCTCACAAGTGAGAGAATTTTGTTTGCATAAATGATCAGTATAAGGATTTTTGCTGTCTTATATTTTAATTTTAATTAAAATTGAATTGCCATTTTTGTAGCATGAAAAAATAATTTTCACTAGATCTTCAAGAAATGCTAGCTAGCTGAAGTACCAGTTAAATGTCTTCTGCCTCAAGAGCTTCTTTGAGAATATTCTGCAGTTGGTGTAATTGTTTTCTAAGATGAGACTCTAAGGAGAATGTATTTTATTTTAATTTCTGCTATTAATCAAAGCTTCCCCAGAATTCATGTTTCTTAAAAGTAGAAGCTCCATGGTTTTTAGCCTTGGCAATTCCTGTGTCCCTTCTGCTCATCATTCATTTAAGAAAAGAGAAGTCTTTGGGACCTCAGTGGAGCAAATTAGTGGAGTTACTATGGTCTGTCATGACAACTTCTTTACTGTTCTGCCCTTTACAAGCTTTGGAGTCTGCCAGGCTGGTAATCTATAAGGAAGCCTCTAAGTAGGCTTTGAATTGAGACTGCAGTGGCTCAGAAGATAACTGTTTTTAAGTAGGCAATAGTCTGGCTTTCTTTTAAAGCCCTTATGAATGATGGCCTCAAAAAGCATCTTCTGTGTAGCCTGTCTCTCTGGTATTAAATGAAAACTTAAAATAATCAGTGCCATCTGTTTTTCATGCATTTAGAGTTACTTATTTTTTCAGGACAGACTAAAGCCATTGGTTGACTTACCTATTTCTGGCATACGGTTCACTCCTTTGCTTAATTCTTAAAATTGTGTCCAAGTGTGGGACTGAAAGATTATGAGTGGCAATTCTGTGAGTTGTAACTCTTACTATACATGCATTAAGTGGCTGATGCTAAAGATCTAATTTCTCCCATTATGGCTGAGTTTTATAATGCAGTATGGGATTGTATAATATCATATGGGAATGTAAAGCTAAATAAATCCAGATTGTTTGAACTGCAAGGTTTCCTTGTTTTAATGCTCTCTGCTGTTTTCATGGAGATGTTTTGTAGGCTAATCATAACCATGTTTGATGGAAAAAACCTGCACATGCTCAGTTTCTGCACCTCATAAATGCAAAAATAATCAAGTTGGTTTTACGTTCTGCAGAAAAGAGGAGAGAAAGGAGGAGGAAAAGATCTGTAGGAGAAGAATTTTGTCAGCACCTGAAACCTAGCATAGTGATGAAGCCCACTGCAGCTATTCTCATTAGAAAACCCTTGTTATAAACACAGCCCTGTTCCATAAAATATGATAAATATTTATTCAATGTTTATTCCATTTACTGCTCTGCACTGGTTCTGGCCAGACCTTAAGTGAAACAAATTAAAGGACACTACATTCTTCCAAATTTCATTAGAAGCAGAACAGTGAAATTAAGTAGTGTTTACTGTCAGCCACTCACTGTATTTAAGGTGATGTTTATTCCAAAATAGCACTGTAATCTAACAGCATGACACTAGGTTCAGTAATTAGAAATGGAAATTTTGTCAGACGAAAGGTGATTTTTGTTAGCATGCTGTAAATGTGTATAAATTCTGTAGTGTGTACATATTTTTTCCTCACTGAAATTTGTGCTGTTAATTTAAATAACAAAGCTATTGACATAGAGTAAATGAGGAACAGAAGGTCAGATGTTAAATTAAAAGCTACTGACAATTATGTGAATAGGAGCTCAAAGCAATGAGACTGGTGCAAATCAAAGTTTCTTATTACTGGACAATTAATATTTTCTCATGTAGAATGCAAAAACTTAATGTGTTCTAGCAGTACACTGTAAATAGTGTCTGGAGAATCAAGGTCACCTACAGTGTGATACTTACTCTTACTGCATGTGACAGGTTGAGGGACTCTGCCTGTGCTTTAGTAACAGAAAGGCTTAAATTTTATAAATCAAAGTATTTGCAGGTGTGGAAGCCACTTAGCTTGAACAAATAAGACTATTTTAAATACAACTGGTGCAATTACTTTCCTTAAATGCAAAGATGTGAAGAACATTGTGACTATTTATTTGAGCTGTTGGTGCCAGTTGGTCACTATGGAGCTGACTGACTTCTCCGTATGTTGAGGAACTAGTTGTCTTTGGGAAGACCACTGACTGCTTGGAGTGCAGTCAAAAATCTGCTAGAATAGGTTTATCCAGATCAATTTCTCTAGCTTTGTTCCTATGCACATGCTCAGCTCGCTAGCTATATAAGCCTAGTTTTCACTGCCCGTTTCCGCTGGCCATCTGACAGAAGAATGACTAATCAAGTGTTGAACTAAGCTTTCGTTAAAAACCCCAACATTCCATTTTTGAATTTTCTTTAGTTGCCTTCAAAAAGGTGTGGTGTCTGCTTGTAAGCATCAATTAAAATGAAGCTAATTATCTGCTCCTGGTTTCCATTATCCTTAATACTCTGTAATTTTCTAATGAGGCTTTCTTACCCTTGGTATTCATTCACTGTATGCTGGTTTACTTTCTAGTGCAAAACCCACAAAAGGGAGCACTTCAGAAAATACATTTAGCCATTAAGTTTCTGACGTTCTAAAACTCCAAATACCTTTTGCCTCTTGAATGTTTTGGGTTTGCAAGACTTGCAGCATGGATTTGTCCTAAGTGAGATTTTTAGAAATCTAACATCACTGTTTGGAAACGCAAAAAAAGGGGTTTTTTAAATAAACATAAAACAGGTGATGGCTAATAGACATTATATGAACTGTTTTGGTTGTAAAATGTAAAAGGTGTATGAAGAAGAAAATTAAAATGTACTGAGTAATACTGTTCCTTGTAAGCCTAAGTGATGATTTTGGGCAACAAAAATTCTACAGCATGTTGTGGGACACTTTCATGCTATTGTTGAAAAACAGAGTGAATTTTTTAAATTTTTGTAGTTAAACTGTGAATTCCTTCAAAATGAATTTGGGCTTTTTACAGGAATTTTAAATTCATATAAATATTTCTGATGTAGAGAAAATTTCAGAGAGATGCAAACATGTCCTTTTGAGGTTTATACCCATTTCATTGTATAGAAGGAAAAGCACTACATACTGCATACATGCAGTCTGTTTACAGATTTGCATATAGTGGCTTGTGATATTTACATCCCACTGGACAGAAATATATGATGGAAGCTAATAAACTCTTAGTATTTTTATATCCAGAGAAAGCCATCGCACTTCAGAATCAACAGAAGATGGATAACCTCAGTAACAAAATATGAGAAACCTACTTTGTGTTTTTTAACTATTTTGTACAAGTAACTATAGCTCTCATTTTGAAATACACATTTTTCATTAACAGCTATTGCTGTCTATCCTTGCTGTTGGTTAACACTCATAGGAGAGAGGCTCCTCTGCCTTCACTGGTGTTCTCCCACTTGTCTCCGCAAGTTGCGTGACGACAAAAACATTACATCTTCCACTTTAACATAGCCTACCAATACATCAGGAGGTACCAGTGTGTTGCTTGGTCGTTGTGGAAGAGTGATCAGAAGCTGAGACTGTAGAGCAGTGGTGTTCTGCAAGGCAGAGGAGATACCCATTCCAAATTTGAACTAGGTTTGCCACGTTGGCCTTCCCTCTTCTGCTGGTTGGACTACCATATATGAAGTTTAACTGCTTATTTGTCAAATGAACCACATATGAAGAGATCATGACTGAAACTTTAATCCAAATCACATTATGCTGTGTGGGTCCCAGAATCAGTTTTGACAAAACTTAGGCTTCCAAAGACTTGTTAATTAGAGGAAGGTTTAGAGTTACTGAAGAGCAGGCAGATTTTATGTCTAAATTAAACTTCGCTGTGATATGAAACTTTAGGAAATGACTGGTAGAAGTTCTCACAGCCAAAACTTGTTCTTCAATGAAATATATGTAATAGTTCAACATCTCTCAGGGAGTGGTGCAATGCATACTTTTCTTTTTAACTGTAAGCCTCAGAGTCTACAGTTTCCTCACCAGACTTTCTCTTTCTTCTTTAAATACTGCTGCCACATTTTCAGTAGTGTTATTTAGCCTCTTGACATCAAAACTGGTGGATTAGGACAGCTATACCACTGAAAATGCTGTCTTACAGTTATTGGGAAGGGTTGGAGTGTCAGCATTTTTGGGGAAATGCCAGTGGTGATCTAAACCAGGGGAAACTCTTTAAGATATATGGTTGACCTGTGGCAACCCCTGCTGGGATCTGCCTCTTCGCTGGCTTTTCCTAGGGTTGCTTTTTTTTGGTTGGGGTGGGATGATTTTCTTTTTGTGAATGCTTGCCACTGCATTTACCTGGCTGTCTACTTGTTTAAGTATCAATTATAAATAACTGTCAATTTATTGCAGTACTTCTTTGATAACTTTTTTTTTTGCATGTAAGCTTTCTTTGACAGGGATTTGATCAGAAATAAAGATCTAGTTTAACTAGACTGCCTGGGTCCTTTGTGTTGTCACATCTGTGATGTGCAAATGTATGCATGAACTTAAACATATATATTATTCCAGTACTGAAATGTGTACTGAATTCTTCACATGAATGCAAAAAAATAAGCATACTGTTTAAAACTAAGTTTACAACTGATTGCGTTATTAATATGCATTTACTCTCGTTTTTGGTTTGCAATTGCAGGAACTAACATTCTTCTTCCTGCTTCTCTCCCGCCACCCCCCCTCCCAACCTCCCAACCCTGTTCCCTGCTGAGCATGCTTTTCTTAACCATCAAATGAAGAAACAAAAAGACGACTGTTTAAGTCAGACTACTTTACATGAAAGCTTATTCAAGGTCTAGGCTCAGTGTTTTATCTTGAAGTACTATTGTTTAACTGAAAACACATTTGTACACTTGCAGATGTAAGTGTGTTTAGTAAAGTGCACAGATTTAAACAACGTTTTATTTTAAGTGTAGCTAAAGTACAGATTTGCAGAGTAAATAATTTGATTCCCTGTGGCACTGTTTGTAGTACCATAGTTTCATCTATGTGATTTTGCAAAGTTTTTGTAGAACTAAATTAATCCTTCTTTTCTAGATACTTCACTATAGGTCCTCATTGAAAAGTGACTTTAAAAATATTTATTAATTGCTCCAAGAAAGACATCAAGAAACTGTCAGTTTAAACACTGTCTTGTTTCATGGCATTTTTAGCCTGGCATAACTATTTTGAATGGAAATTAATTAGTCTTGAATAGACATGCATGTGTGTGTGCATGCTCCTAGGTCAGTTCCTGAAGTTCATAATTTATGAATCTAACTGTGAAAATTGTGTATTTTGTAGGGCTCTAGCTGACATGAACAATGATGGGAGGATGGATCAGTTGGAGTTTTCAATAGCTATGAAACTTATCAAATTAAAACTACAAGGTTATCAACTCCCATCTGCACTGCCTCCTGTCATGAAGCAGCCACCTATTGCTCTGCCTAATGCACCAGGATTTGGTAAGCTCTTTGTTTTCCTTCTTGTTAGCTTGTATTATAGCAACCTACGTTGAATTTGATTGCTTTGCAGTTTCTAAAATAAAATTTTAGGAAAAAGTACTTCTAAAGGTATGTGGACTCAAAACCAAATGCTTCCATGTGTGTGCACATGCTTAAAAAAAAGATCTAAATGAGCTTTTAGCACCCAATCATATTGAATAACAGAAGTTGAGGTCCTGTTTGCTTCCAGTCTTACACTGTTCCCCATGTGGTTCCAAACAAAAGTATTTTGTGGGGCAAAATGATGCATCAGATAGGAGGGCTAGTGCGTTCCAAAGCGATGGAGTTTTTATTTAAACTATTGTTATTTGTCCCTATTTTTCATTAAGGGATCTCCAGCTTTGGCAAGATTAGCTATGTTTTTCTTGACTTTTTACAAATCATGCTAGTAATGCACCCCTTTGCTTTTATTTTATGAGCAGTGCTGCACTGGTATCAGCTAGTTCAGCTGCTCACTCAGTTCTCGTGGTTAGTACTGCCAAGGTCACCATCATTTCAAGGAAAAGAGTAGGGAAAATGAGATAGTGAGAGGAATCTAATAAAATGAAGCTGAACCTCATGTTTAACACCTTGAAGTTCTGTATATTCTGTGGTGAGAGGTTCTTTGTATTTCGGTTTCAGTTGTTGCTGTGACTTAAGTTGGTTGGTGCCTGAGAATCACTGCTGTCCTTAAGAAAAGGGAATAGCACATTTGATGAATTGCGTGCAACTTTGTTGTTTGATCAGTTGTTGCTTCCACAAGTTTTACAGTTTTATTTTTGACTGTAAGAAATCAGTGAAATTGAGCAGAACAAATACTAGTTTAAGTGAGAAAAGGCATAATAAAATCAAACCCGTGAGAAAAGGCATAATAAAATCAAACCCCCGAGAAAACCAGCAAAATCTGTGTTTTTTCTTTTTTCCTCATTCAGTGTAGACTTGATCTCAGCTGTTTGCACACAGCCTCATTCTTCCCATTGGCATGACTGGACCTCCTTAACCTCTCTCTTACCCATGCAACTGTGCTTACACCTAAAATACCTCATTACTGTGCTTTGCCCTATTAGCTTTGCACTGTTTCATCTTTACAATAGGCTGCAAGCAGTTATCCTGAAGCTTGTTCTTTTCAGCTGTGGCTAAATGTAGGCTTTGGGTTCATTACTCATTGGAAGTTGACAGTGCTGCTCTTCATTTAGTTCAAGGCAAACAATTCTTTTCTTCAGCAAATGCTAATAGACCTTTTTGGTCAGTGTTGCATCCAGTGTGATCTTATATGCATACATTATAAAGTGGTGTGTTGTTCCCTCTGCATTGTTTTATGTTCCTCTGCCATGCTAATGGTGCAGCAGACTGTAAGAGTTCTTTCAAGGGGTGTGTGGAAGTTTCCATTTCAATCTGCTCTTTAATTCTGCATTTACCACTGGGTTGCAGGCTGCAGTTAAGTTGTTGTATTGTATTAGGAGTCTCTAAATTCAAAAAAATTTCTCCTTTTCTTGCCCATAGGTATTGGGGGCATTGCCAGCATGCCATCTCTTACAACTGTTGCCCCAGTGCCAATGGCATCTATTCCAGTAGTAGGAATGTCTCCACCATTAGTATCTTCTGTTCCTGCAGCAGCAGTACCTCCCCTGGCTAATGGAGCTCCTGCTGTTATACAGCCTCTGCCTGCTTTTGCTCATCCTGGTATGCTACATACTGAGACTCTGTTTACTCTCTTGCTATTAACAAACTATTTTGCGATTTTCTTTGGATCCAGAGAACAGTAGACATTCTAACTTACCCAAAGTCGTTCTTTAAAGTAAGGGCTGTACTTTGGTTTAGCCCAATGTAATTGTTAGCAAATTGTTTAGTTTGTATAAAAGTTAAAAGAAGAAATACGGACATACTATACTGTAACAGTCAGTCGTGTTGAGCAGAATATTAAACCTGTTATAACAGCAGTGTGATAAATGTAGCTTGCCAATAAACTAAAAATATGTCCTCTCCTATCTATTTATAACTATTCAAGTGCTGCTATTTGTTGGGATTACTTTAAAATACTGGAACACATATGATTTCTGACACTAATCACAATATAATTTGATAAGAACAGTGTTTGCATAAAACTGCAAAAGTGAAAAGACGTGAGAGAAGTGCCTGTGTGTTTTCACCTATTTTGTTAGACACTGTTATCTTAATATTTTTAGAAGGGATACCATCAAAAGAACCATAGTGCTTGTATTTGATCTTAGGAACTAAATGAATGTCATTGAAATTCTACAGTTTAAAATGCTAATACTAATAAATACATGTATTCTCTTATTTACAGCCACATTGCCAAAGAGTTCTTCCTTTAGTAGATCTGGTCCAGGATCACAGCTAAATGCAAAACTGCAAAAGGCACAATCATTTGATGTGGCTAGGTAAGTTGGTATGGAATCAATGTATGTGTGTAGCTACTTCCCCAGAGTTAGAAAAACTTCTGTTTTGCAAAGTTGTTTTCTGAAATAATATTTACTTGCAGAAATCAATTCCTGC